GAGCTTCTGATCCTTCTGCTCACGGTCTTCCCCAGCCTTAAAAGTCCAACTGAAGTCTGGAGCTGCCAGGTGGCATGAAGGTTGAGGAAGCCGGATCTCATTGCTGGATGTGGGTTCAAGTCCCAAACCAAGCGACTTGCAACTCATGTTAGGTGTGTGTATGCACGTGCCCAAAATTTCAAAAGGAGAATGGAGGAGAAGGGACTTTGGTGTCGCCATCCTCCTGGCGTGGGGGTGACTTCTCATTTTCTCTCTCTGTCTCTGTCTCTATCCGACAAGTATATATGCCCTATATTAGAAACTAAAGAGAAAAGTAGAGGGATCAGCAGTTAGCATAATGTCTATGTCGCTGGACTCCCATGTAGTCGACTGCAGTTTGAGTCTTGGACCTGGTGGCTTGTGCGTGCGTGCCCAAGATCCCGAGAGGAGAATGGAGGAGAAGGGACTTTGGTGTCGCCATCCTCCTGGCGTGGGGGTGACTTCTCACTTTCTGTCTCTCTGTCTCTCTCTCTTTCTGGCGAGCGCACACGCCCTATAGCAAAAGCCTCTTCAAAAAAAAAAAAAAAGAGTAAAATAGAAAAAAGAAGCCCAACTGAAACCTTCATCTTTCTTTGGCTACTTCCGGTTTAATAGCTGAATGGCCTTCCTTCTACACCCCACCCCCACACAGAAAGGTCTCTCTGAGTCCTATCCCACTAATTGTCACTGTGACCTTATTCAAAAATGAGATCTCTGCAGGTGTGCGAGGATTCTAAGTTAAGGATCGCAAGATAAGATCTTCCCAGACTAGGGCGTCTCTAAATCTAATGACTGGTGTCTTTAGAAGAGAAAGGTGGAGACCAGCAGGTGGCGTAGTGGTTAAGGTGCTGGACACTCCCACATGGCTGACCATGGTTTGAGTCCCGGACCTGGTGGCTTATATTCTCACCTCTCTCTCTCTGGTCAAATTAAAAATAAATAAATGAGTGGATAAATAAATAAATAAATAAAAATTAAAAAAAATCTTTTTTTAAAAAATGACAAAGGCGAGGAGGACTCAGGGGCAGAGACTGGACTTCTGTTGCCACAAGCCCAGGAACACCCGGAGCTACCAGGAGCTGGAAGAGGCCAGGAAGGATCCCCTAGAGCCTCGGGAGGAAGCGGGACGCTGCCAACACCCTGGTGCCGAGCTCCTGGGCTCTAGGACAGGGAGGGAATGTGTTGCTGCCACAGCCCCTGCCTTCGTGGTAACGGACTCGGCTCCATTTGGGCCCCCTTCTTTGGAACGCATCCTGCCTTCCTCACAAAGGTGTCACC